GTCGACACCATAGAGACCTGGCTTGAGAAACACCACCTAAAACTCGCCAAACAAAAAACGGAGATGGTTGTCTTGACCCGACAAAAGTGGTTTCCAAAACCATTCACCGTAGACGTGGGAGAGACAACTTTGACGTCGACAAGGGCCTTGCGCTACCTGGGAGTAATGATAGATGAGAAGCTATCCTTCCGCGAACATCTCGATAGTGCATGCATAAAAGCTAGCAAGACGGTATCCAACTTGTCAAGGATTATGGCTAACTGCATGGGACCACAAACCCGAAAACGACGAGTCCTGCTTGAGGTAGTCCATTCTGTACTGCTTTACGGAACAGAGATATGGGCGGATATCCTCAAGCAAAAGACTTATCGGCGCAAAATAGCGGCAGTGCAAAGACGAGGAGCTCTGAGAGTTACCTGTGCCTATCGCACAGTCTCAGAAGCAGCCGTGCTGGTAATAGCAGGAGCCACACCGATTGACTTGCTAGCTTTCGAGAGAGTGAAACTCTACGACGCTAAATTAGGTGGTGACGATTCCAGAGAAACAAGGTCGAGAATTAAAAATGAAACGATACAAGAGTGGCAAAATCGCTGGACGTCAGGAGAGACGGGCAGATGGACGGCGCGTCTGATTCCGGACATTAGCGTCTGGCTCTCTCGACAATACGGGGACACAGATTTCTTTCTAACCCAGCTACTAACAGGACATGGACAGTTCAATGCCTATCTTTTTAAGATGGGATTGCATAGCACGCCAATGTGCAAATACTGTCCATATAAAATAGACGACGCTGAACACACGTTCTTTGAATGTGCTAGGTGGAAGGATTATCGAAACAACGCCGAGCACATTATAGGCACCAGGCTTACCCCCTCAAGTCTTGTGACCTACATGATGAAACAAGAAGAAAACTGGTCAGCTGTAGCAGCTTATGCACAGCATCTTTTGAAGGCTAAAACCGGAGAAAGGGACCAGTAGTCGTAAACAGGCGTTGCAAGGCGCAGCACGGACTGGATTGATGTAATGCTAACGCGGTTCCAATCCAGTCCTCCCCGTACCATCTGCGGGGAGAGGGGAGAGGAGTGTTTTTTTTAGTGGGTAAAAATCTCCACACGGCCGCCCATCTTTGTCTGCTGTAGGATGGACAGCGGAGTATCAACGATGGCGGTGTCTTATGAAGATTTTTTTTCGCACCTCTATAAAAAAAAAAAAAAAAAAAAAAAAAAAAAAAAAAAAAAAAAGTATGTATGTATACTACATACACACATCCATTTTTTCTAAGGTATTAGTAGTAGATATGTGTATGTACTATGTATGTGTGTGTAGTATGTATGTATACTACATACACACACATCCATTTTTTCTAAGATATGCCAAAATTTTCAGATGGCCTTAAAACGTAAAGATTCCCAAAAAAAATTCCTTTTCGATTTTTTACTGTAATTTACCCTATCATATCATATAAAAAACTGGAAAACTGGAAACCCGTTAATTAATGGCAAATATGTTTAGTTATGAATGATAACAGTATGATCTTAATAACTTTTTGCCACAAAGCTCAATACCGTATTGATAATGTATTTTTTGTTAATTTTACACATGATGAGACAATCCACGGTCCGAAACGTTTGTAAATTATAATTTTGTAAAATAAAGTTAGTTAAAAAGAGTAAAGTTTAGTAGGTATGTTTTTAATTATATAATTTAAATAAAATATAATGCTGATGCCTATGGAGGATGGATTGAGCTTTGTTGATATTTTCAAAGTTTGAAACGTACATTTAGTTAAATTAAAGAATTTTTTTAAATAAATTTTTAAGAATTTAAGGAAATTTTACATTATATGAAATGTCCATTGAGTGAGTTCATCAATCACAAATATGATGTGTGATTTTTAGTGTGTGTTCTTATTTACATAATTAATATTCGTTCCACTCATTGTACACAATTAGGTATGACTATTCATGCAAATTTATTAAATCCATAACCATTCCATGTACAGAGTATCTATTTCCCTGTATCTATTTTAATTGCATAAAATGATAGTTTATTGGCATGAATACAGTTCAAATGTCACGACTTGGCGATGTATTGGGATAATTTGTTCTCTCTCGTTGAATGCTCATGGAATAGATAATAAAATACAAAATAGACCGCACTGATTGAAGTCAATTTGTTTTTTATCGCATGCCATTGTAAAATTGACTATGACAATAATATACATCAGTTGAATCTTATATACATAGTCATAAATTTAATATTTATAATTTTCATAAATTCTATTATTTTTCGTTAGATCACAGTTTTGGAGATATAATCAGATTCTGCGGCCATCGAAGGTGATTTTGAGTTATTGGCAATTTTGTTCTACAGATTGGTACCCTTGTGACGCCTTCGGCTACGCGAGGAGATATCAGCTTTATAAAGCAAAACCCATACCAGAAGGTGGTATACCAGAACCACCAAAAATTGTAACGGTAAATAACAATTAATTCTAATTATTCCAGATTCCCACGTAAATTAGTGGTTAGAGCTATAAGATTTGAATTTGAAATTCCGGATTCGATACCGGCTTCGGACAGCCTGTTGTCAAGCAGTAGTGGCATCAATTTTCCCTTGGAAATATGGATAGCAGTATGTTTCCAAAAGAAAAAAATAAAAAATTAACAGTATTACAGAAATTGAATAAATTCAATTCAATAAATTAAATAAATTTTCAATAAATTTTCAATAAATTAAATAAAAAAAAAGATAACAGTCACAACAGTATATAGGACTCGTTCTGATTGCTGTTAATAATATTTAAAAATATTTTAAGTGTGATTTTTTTTAAATAACTTAGAAGTTACTCTTCAAACCATAAAAATTGTAAGTGCAAAACATACTCCATGGAATTAAAAAATGCCTAAACGATTTAAATATGATCTTTGGCTTCGCGGTTTAAATTCATTTTATTCAATGCCAAAAATTTAAATTATTTATAATTTAAATTTTGAAACTTCATAATATTGATACAAAGATTCAAAATTTATAAAATATAAATCTAAATAATTACTTTGTATTTTACATGTAATGCACTTACAATTAGTCACCTTACAATTGCTTAATCTACAAAAAAGTAAATGCTTCTAAATATAACTAAAGCAATGGGCAAACGAATACGAAATATCAATAATTTATTTATTCATTTTTGTCATATGATTAATTACACCATGACTCTTTTCCGTAATTAACTATAGATACATCAGAGCCCATTTATAAATAAAACTTCTACATGTCGTTCACTAATTATAGATATACCGTGGGTATAATTATAAAAGGTAAAGGTAGTTGTAAATTAATTATCACTATATTTATCAATATAAATATATTTCTATATATTTTAATCTGTCCAACGAAAAAATGACTGCAACTAAACAACCGTACTAAATCAATGTCCACATTAATAAATGTGACATCTCCTAACACCCTGAAGCTTTAAAAATAGAAACATCTTAAATCTGACTAAATGCAACTATTAATACCCTTCCTTCCTTACATTGTAGGAAGTCCCTGACGAATGGGACATCAAGTTCGATAAAATCGTAGAAGTAGTGCACAGACCAAGGATGTTCCACATCATGGTGACAAGTATCAAGCAATTGCAAGAAAACCCAGAGGAAACTGAACGAGAAATGATAAGGCAAAGTTTAGAAGCTATTGCCACCAATGTAGCTGGTGAAAAAGAAGACATTGTTCAATGTCCCATCAGGAGAAGAGTTATTTGCACTGGACCGTGCAAGGGACAGAAACTAAAATGCAAAGATTAATAGACCAAATATTTTGTAAACCAAGAGGAAATTATTTACATTTTCTTTTTATAGAAATATTCTGCCTATTTAATTATCATTTAGAACCCTCGAATACCTCAAAAATAAATTTATTTCTCTCTCTAATCAATAAATTATTCTCTCTAATCAATAAAGTGTTTCATTTAATATTAATAGGAAATCGGTAGTAAAAACAAAATGACACGACAGAAACAAAATTCCTTAGAAAATCCAAAAACAACAAACGGTGATCAAATCTAGACATACAAAGAAAATATACTTGACACAATTCTCAAATAGAGATTGACACGATAAACAATAATCACGATAGTAAATCTTAAAATCACATAAAGTATCTATATATTAATAAAAAAAATATGCATAATAATTCCTACAACTTGTTTTACAAATTATTGATGAGAATACACTTTCTTTACTTTTTCAGATATATGCGTTACATAATTTTATGTATAAAAACAACATGAAGTAAGAAAGTAAAATGAAACTAATTTGAAAGTCTAATTATTAGAACGAATCAAATTATAATTTTTACGCAGCACGTAAACAATCACATGCTTGAGAATTCCTAACTTTATAATTCTTACAAATTTCACTAAGAAATTCTATAAGACTTTGTCATTATTATATGATTTAAGTATGAAATATTTTAAGCAGAAGTTAGGTCATTAATATGTATGTGATTTTACAAAAAAAGACCTTGTTGAATTCAATATAGGCCAAAAGAAAATTTTAAGCATATGACGCAGAACACTGCAAAAACAAAATAGGGTGGTGGATAACTTTTCAAACATTTCAATAAGAAACTTCTATAACAAGGCCAAAGTTTTCATGAAAAGTTAAGGATTTTCGATTTACAAAATATATTGAAAATGCATTTAACTTTTTAATAAAAGATTATTTCTGCGCAAAAAAGAAAATAAAAGTTAACGTTTTAATTAGGTTTCATCTAGGTACTACAAAAATTGTCATAATTACAAGTCTAAAAGAATGATGGGATAAATTATACATATGCATAGATAATACGTATTTTCAGAGTTATAGCCTCGAAAAACTCAAAGAAATTTTTTTTTCAAATATACTATTCTTTCATTTACCATAGGAAGACATATATACATGCATAGAAATGTATAAGAGCAGATTAAAATGTGTGAATAATTTTATTCTAATTACCTGTACAACAATGACGACGGAATCATTCTGCAATGGACCAAATATTTCTTCATTGATTACTGTTTGTTTCGTGTTATAATATCGAATTTGTTTCGAAATTTCGGACAAAGCCGCTTCGTGCCTTTCTATCATCGACAGCTGAGGATTGATCGTCATTCGCCCAATCGTTGTATTTTGTCCGCCTGGATAAAACAAATCCAGAATCATAATTAAAAATGTATGCACATATCTACATATTATAAAATTCTCAATGCAATATTCCAGCGAGACGGTTTGACCGATTTTTATGAAATTTTATAATCGGACATCTATTTTTCATACCCCTATGTGGTAAAAGTTGGTCACCTCTAAGACTTTTTTTAGTTTTCAATAGAATTTCTTTTATTTTTATAACTTATAATTAAAAAATACACACAGCCCCACATTTTTGCTCTTCTACTACCTACCCCACCAAACTCCTATTTGGAAATTTAGTAAACGAATAATTTTTCATTCGAATTTTCTTGAGCTCATGGAAAAGGTTAAATTTATCTCAAAAAATGAGTTGTCCACTTTTAAATCTTTTTTAACCCCTTTTTTCATTTATTTTTTTTATTTTTTGTAATGCGTAGTTGAAAAGCACATACTGTCCTAAATTTTTACCCTCCCACCACAAACTCCTTAGGCTATTTTGCTTATAGTAATTTAGTAAGTGTCGGGTCAGCTAGTATATATATATATATATATATATATATATATTCATTCATTATTTATTTCCAATTACCACGAGACATTAATATTTCTTTATGTAAGCACAATGCATTCTGTGTAAATATTTGCGCATGATTCTATTGACTAAAGTTGCATGAGGTAAATATAATGCATATAATCAATACAAACTCACACAAGCTGTTCATAAACATTAATTAAAATTTTGCACGGAGTGCTATAATTATAAACATTAATTAACTATTAATGATTATACTATGTAAACGTGAATTATGTTAAACGATTTGAATTTGAAATACAATTGCTTCGCTATAATTAACTTTATCAATTATTACTAACTTGTGATTGTACTTGGTAACATCATAGTAAAAAATATAATAATAGATATTAAAATAATTATACTATTAGAACTGATCATTTGCCTATATTTGCTCATATTTCAAATGTTAATAATGTATATAAATTTCAATACATTCATTCAAACAAAATGAATCAAATGTGATAAGTTAATACTAATTAACATGATTCATACATATTAATCAATCTGATTTACATAGAAGTAAAATAATAAATGAAAGGCAAAAAATCGCTAATCATTACTTAAATGTATGAATTATTGCTTTAGCAGAATATCAAAAAAACATGGCCAAAAAGTGTATTTTATTCTAGCATGTACTTTATAATCAAAATGCCTTTTATCTAAGTTGTTTATATAATCAATAAATTCTTCCTAGATAAATATTTCTGTAATAATTTAATAACTTTTTCTCACCTGTGGCGTTCTTTGGTTTGACAGCCAGGTACTTGTGGAGCACCTGAGGCACCATGGCCAGGATTGCAGCAGCCGTCTCATTTGCTGATTCAGAACTGGACAAACTGCTCTGTCCACCACCTACTAATCAAGCAAATTGCCTCTCAATTAAATGAACATCAATCAAGCATTATTCGGTACCGAATCAAATAAGCCCGGTCTCTACATTTGTAGTAAATCTATTCCAGAACCCTTAATCATGCTTTCGTTTTCTTTATCAAGAGCAAGATTAAGTAATAACTTCTTGGCTTGGTTTTGAACAAAGTTTAACACGCGAGATAGAAATTTGTTTTAAATAGTTCATGGAATGCGTGAAACGACAAAAATTGTATTTATACGTAAAAGCAAGATTTAATCGCGCACCTAAAAATAAGAAAGAACGCATGTTTCGTGTAATGTGCGACGTGTGTTGGAAGAAGTCATCGATAAACTTTTTTCACGATGCTATTTTCAATGGTTGCTTCGGTGAAGTATAATAATTCCTAACGATGATAAATCACAAATCAATTTACAGTAAATATTCATTTCTGCAATCTGTCTTGAAACTTAAACAACGCGGACAAGATAATGCAAAACAATATGTCATCATGTTGTTTCCAAAATCAAATCATCATCAATCAATAATATCTACTCATTAGTTGGCAAATTTCATAAAATTCTATTCATCTACTTACTACTTGTAAAAACAGAATGGATTTGCAGGTACAAGAAGAGCAGAAGCAGCACAAACAATGCCGACCTGAGGACGAAACTCCTGCGCCTCGCCCTAGCCACGGCGCCCGTGTTGGGCAGAGCCAGGGGTATGCGCAGGCCGGCTGGAAAAAATTAGAAAATACTTATTTTTTATGTCTATAATGTTATATATTTACTTATTAATTTAATTATGTAATATTTTTTTTAATTTGCTTAGTTTAATAAACGCAAAGTCTGACTTATCCATAGTTCATAGTCACAGTTTAATAAATACTTGGTGCAAAATTTTTGGTGAACTTTTTTGTAATTTTTTAATTTCTTCAGTAATTTTATTTTGGATACTCTATAATGTAAGTGAAAAAATTATTATGTTTTGAAAATATTCCCGATGTAGTAATTTACGATAAAAACATAAACTTCTCCTTCGGGAAGTTAATACGTTGATTATGAGCATAAAATTTCATTGTCCAGTATATTTATAATTAAAATTAAAAATATTTAGTATATATGTATTTCACCATTCTACTTATATTATATCACATGTCTTTGAAAAATTCACAGTCTAATAAAAAGTAATTAGTAATATAATTGGAGCAAATTAGCTCCAATATGGTCTAAGGGTACTATGACTTTTTGTGCATAAACAAAAAATGTATCTAAAATATCGATGTTTAATAAAATTATTAATGAATTATTGAATCTTGGTTTTTAATTAAACCAGCCCAATTAGCATAAACAAATTAAATTAAATTATGAATAAAAGCGTTTAAAATCGCAATCGTGAAATTAAAAATAAGAATTATTGATGGAAAAACTCTCCAATAATAAAAGAATAAATTTATTGACCCTTTCGCTACAAAAGTATTTTCCGTAGAAGTGACGCTGCTGTACAACCAATAAACCGCCCAAGTATTTATTTAATAAAATATTTTCAAATAAAAATGAATTTGGAAATTAAAAATTACTAAAAGCCACAATAACAAATTAGTATTCTCAATAATATAGCTCTGAGTGATACAGTTTGAAGTAAAATTTATCATCTGGATGTCGTCTATAGACGGCATTCGTACACAGAAGTCGTCAAGTCAACCAGGTATATAGTCTCTCATTCCAGTCTCATTTAAATTTTAGTAAAATAGCGTTTTTTGAAAATAATTGTTATTTACCAAAATATTAGTATTTTTAGTACTTTCATCCCAAAGATAAATATACTAATTAAACAGTAATATTTTCACTCCCAATCATAAGCTGTCAAAGCTTGAGAGATATTTATTGGTATATAAATATCAGTATCAGCCTATAGGATTCGAATAGGAAAATGAAATATCTAGAGCACTATACGAGTATTCCACTTGGGGGCAAGTCGCAAGATTGTCATTTATCCACAAAAAATAAAAACATTATTTATGTTCCCAGTATCTAGTTTTTGAGAATATATTGATTGGTAAAGAAGTTATAGATGACTAATGCAATGCATTTCCGATATGCATGACTGCACCAATGAATATCTTATGTATGACCATATTACTAATTTGTAGCATTACTCAAATGCACCGCGTGACGATAAATATTTCAGGCACGGAACTCAGGCACCACAATACATGCAAACCAATAATCCTACGCTTTACTTTGTTTAAACAAATGTATTTGTTTAATTCGTAGACATTGTCATACATTAGATCAATATCACACCAGTCGATATGAATTAAAATTATCAATTCATATGCAAATTAAAACCCAGGTAATAGAACAATATGTTTGCAGCTGATTTCAAAACAAACATAGCAACTAGTAATTTAATTTCATTGAGAAGCAAAGACTATTAGGAAATAAGTTTCTACTATATATTCAGTTTGTTACGTGGTAATATTTGGTTCTCTATTATGTTCATGATACATACATATAAATAATAGTAAACGGAAGTAAACCGAATACATAATAGTAAACGGAAGTAAACCGAATACATAATGGTAAACGGAAGTAAACCGAGTAAATAATAGTAAACCGAATACATAATGGTAAACGGAAGTAAACCGAATACATGACAGTAAACGGAAGTAAACAAAATACATAATAGTAAACCGAAGACATGATAGTAAACCGAATACATGATAATAAACCGAATATATGATAGTAAACCGAATACATAATATATAATACTTAACGCAATAGTAGAGACTCCATTTTTCACCTTGATATTTGCTATAATAGAGTGCAGTGAATATTATATTATTATGTTATAAATTAACAAAATGACAAAATGCACACTTGAAAAAATCGACTTCAAAAATGGGGGTTGATTTTAAAACTAACACTAAAACGTACATTTACTCTAGATTATTTCAATTATGGATCCACTTACTTCAACTAACCTAGTGAACTCCAAATTATCTTTGGCTAATACCAAACTTAATATTTTATTCAATGAATATAGTTTTACGTAAGAATATGCAATGAATCCAATTAGAATCGGCTTATGACCCGATTCTAATTGGAAAATACCGTTTTATTTAACCCTAATAATATTTAAGTTGCCAAATGTTCAATGATGTTAATTTACTTAATTATTTTAGAAAATAGTATTTTTAAACTTTTTTCAATAGCCATAATTTATTATAAACGATTGTTTATTTATATGGAATGTCTGCATTCATACTCATGCCCATTGCTTTAATTTGATAATGAGAAAGCGATTCAATTCATTTTTTAGATATCTTCTGCAAAATATTTATAAACAAATAAATATGCAATCACAAGCATTTGGGGTATTTATATTCATTAGATTTTCTTATGTGTAAATAACTGATACCTATATAAAAAAGCCAAAGACCACCATAGAAAACCAAATGTTATAAAAATTTATAAATTGTTAAATCAAACAAAATATAAAAATTTTCCACTTACATGGCATTATATAAAATAACACTAACAACTGATGTTTCACTTGAACAATTTTAGCACTACAGTGCTAAATTATTATGAATAATTACCAAGCACTATAGAAAAAAAACATCAGGTCGCGGTATAATAATTATTTTGATAGCTTTGTGTGGATTATATTTGCTACAAATAACATTAGTAACAGATTATTTGACCCAAGAGTATAAACATGATAACTCATCGATATTAAATTGTGCAGGATATTCTCACTATAGATAAGTTGAATTCATAATAACAATTTTGCTAGATATGTCTGGTTATTTATACTCGGAAGCAAGTGCATATCACTTGTTTATATTCAACTTTAGAATATTTCAGTTTGAATGAAGATTGAAAATAGAAATACTCTTAAATAAAGTCTTTCTATCTGGATTGATATTCGCTAAAACTATTTAATATTTACACATAATCATGGATTTTTAAAATCAAAGCTCAAGTTTCATATTTCAATTCACTATTTTTTTAGACATTCTGGGGAAATCTAGTGTTATCATCATAGATAAACAAGTATAAATAGTTATCATATACTTCAAATATGTATCAAACAATGATATAATCATCATTGTAAATTAATATAAAGCAAGAATAATATCTCTAAGACTACGCTAATTGCCTATTAATAAATTTTTAGGTACTGTAATAATATACTACTACTCTGGATCCTAGATCCTACAACTAAAAGACTTCATTTTTTAGTATTGGAATCAACATATTCATATTCAAAAGAAAATCTCATGATAAAAATGTCATCTCTAAATTTTATTTGTAGAATATTTTAAACATAATAAACTTACCCCTCATTTTTTAAATATCATTTTCAACATCTTTGGAAATCTCCACCTCGACTCCGACAGAACATTTTATTTATCTGAAATAAAAAAACAATTTTAAATAGTATATCAAATGTTCTAACATTTAAAAACAATCTTTCATTTCACAAATTTTAAAATCATTAAATTATTTAAGACCAAGTCTAATCTAGAGTCTTTACTAGTCATTATGAAAGTATGTATCAAATTATAAATTTGTTCTATATTTTTATCATTGATCAGCCAATTTACAAATGCATAATATGCAAAATATTTTCTTGAAAAATATAATTGTTAGAGTGCAATTACATTTATTGATATATAAGCAAAAACAAGAAGTTTAAAATACTTATTATATTTAAGCATTTTCGACAACATTTTTTTGTATATGCATAACTGTGCAGAATGTATATAATTTTGCAAAATATAATTATATTTGTATTTTATATATAAACATACAAAATATAATTATACATTCCTTTTAGTTAAAGAGCAGTCTATTCATATGACTGAATTGAAACATTTTTTCAGTAATATAAAAGTCTATTCTAGCTAAAAACCCATTCTAACTAGAACTTATATTGCATTTCCCATTTCTATTTCTAATTTATAAATATGATTATATTTTAATATGTCAATATTTGGTTGAAGTAAATCTGATTATGAAAATTGATATAAATGCTTATGATAACAAAATGACTACTTTATTAATTACAATTTGTATAAAAATTAAATATTAAATTTCAATGGGTGTTGTTTCAACAAATTCTTTGCTTTTAATTGTCGAATCTATAATTATTAAATTATACATACCGATGATAATAAATAAATTAAGAATTGTGCCTATAAAGTGATTTTACAATTTAATTGCCAAACATTAAATTTTATGTAAGTAAATATAAGTTTATAACTATATAATTTTAATATTCAATACTTTATGAAAACAATAGTAATAATGAAACGATTTTCAAATTACAAGATTAAATACTTTTATATGCGCTTAATTGTGGTATTTTTTAAATTAAATTATTTAAAAACACCGTTGAAAAAATAAATAATTGACATATTATGACAGCTGATGAAATTTTTGATTATCCTTGGCATTTTTGGAAAGATTATCCAATTAAACAAGTTTTTAAAAAATCAGAATTTGGAAATTCGGTAAAATCAAAAAGGTAAATAGATATCAAAATAAATTTTATGAATTATTATGTTTTTTATATCATAGTAATTGTTAGTTTTAGATCAAATATCTTGAATGAAAGACTAATTGTAACCGACTTCATTTAAAAGTTTCTATCATGAAAAAAACAAGATCTTCGCGTTTTTTCATTTCGGAAAGACTTTTTATATATTATTAATGTGAACTGAATCCAAATATTAAGGAATACAATATCCAAAAAGCTTTCGTCGCCTGGGATTCAAAATCAAAATTAAGGACTCTCATAAATAAACTCTGGAAATAATTCCAATGAGTATGACATTATTATCCCATTTGAAATGCTTTCTAAAAAATTCATGGTCTATTTTGAAATAAGTAGCCAGTGTTTATTAATTAAATATGATATCTGAATATTAAGAAAATATTATCATCAGAGCGCTTTCGATTGTAATTTTATATTGCAAATAATGTTAAAAGATGTTTTTCAGAATAATTCTTACCTATGTGTTAATAAAATGATTATGAAAATATTATAAAAAATGAGTGTAGCGTTTATTTAAAATAAAATTGAGCAATAATCTGGCAAAGAGGAAGAAAATAAAAAAATTAAAAAAATTACATTTGTTTAAATTAAGAACTACAGAAAAATGTTATTTAAAAAAGTATGCAATGTGAAGTTACTTATATAAGAGAGTTATATGAAAGACTATATATTAATAAAATTCATCAATAGTTTTCAATTTCAATAAGAAAAAATAAATTAAAGAACACCATCAAATATATTAAGTATGTATATAAGATTTATTATAACAATATATAAAATTGATACTTACGTTTTGTATATAAAACCAAGTACACATAATATTTAAAATTGCTAAATGTCTATTAATTTAAAACGCAAACAACAGAATTATTTTTGTTGATATTTTCTAATGTATAAAAATAAATAATAGAAAGTTTTTGTCTCCATAATTAGTTTTAACGTTCACACATGTTTTAAGATATTTAATTTAATCGATGATCACTAAAAACTAAATAAATTTGATGATATCACAACGTAAAATGACTGAATATAAATTTTGTTCGACAGACATAAGCTCTTAAAAGTTTCTGTTTCTGTACTACTTTTCTATTCGCTTGTCAAGTTGTTTCACACCCTCTGACAGCCAAGGAAGAGTATTGCCAGATGTTGCATTAATGACCAATTTAAAACCAGTAAATTCAAATAAGGATAAGATGAACTTTTAACTTAAAAGAATAAATATGATATTCTAAAAACTAAAAGAAAGAATGAATAAAACAAATGTAAATTGTACACGTTATTGTATATAAATTATTACACATTCCATATTTAAATATAAATTCATAGTTTACTTTCATTGTTGTTAACATATTCTATGTTATAATATATCCTATTTTGTAAACAATCAATATAACTAATTAAGGAGCAATTTTTTTAATATATCATAGACAATTTATTTATTTAATGAGATAAACTTAATCATTTCTTACTTAATTAAATGTTTAAAACAACATTCTTCAGTCACCTCTAAATATATAAATAATTTTAGAAAATATACACTTGTTGATAAAGGGCGAGTTTATAAATTCATTTAAGTTCATTTATAATATTCCATATATATATAATATATATATATATATATATATATATATATATTCATTTAAAAAAAAAATATATATATATATATATATATATATATATATATATGACTACTAAATCATATATATATATATATATATATATATATATATATAATATATAAATCAGAACTTAATAGTATTTTGTACAATTTAAATTATATATAATTATATGTCATCTTCCATACAAATTTTTTGAGTGATACTAGTTCTGCATAAGCCCCAAAACTTAGATGGTCTCAAATTCTTTTCAGTGGCTGTGAACTGCCACCCAACATGTTGATTGCAAGACTTGCACAGCGCAATGGTCCAAGCATATCTGAAAGTTTAAAAACAAAATTAAGCCTTTTATTTTACCTATTAATTAAAGAAATAAATTGAAATGCAATTTGTAGCATTTAACAAGAGAAGTATCAATAAGAATATAATATAGTATATCTTATAATTCAAAAGTTCAATGAATCAAGAACCTAAGTTTTAATTTCATCTAAGCAAGGATAAATATAATAACTGAGTTAAGGAAAAAGCTTATATAATAACTGTTCCTTGCTTTTTCTTACCCTGGAAACCAGCTAGCCCGAGTAGATTTGTGTCCATGTAATCTCACCTCACTTGCACGCATCACAGTAAATGTCTCATGTATCCATCCTTCTGCAAATATAAATAGAAATTAAATATTTCTATCATTAGAAAACTAGAACTAAACTGAATTTAAAGTTATAATTTTACTTGCCTGGATTGCAGTAATGTGATTGAATACCGTCATTTGACATCGCAAACAGATCAGAAGTTTTTGCAATCTTACTTTGACAATTTTTACAACAAAGACTATCACTCTAAAATGAATTAATTTATATACCTTCATATAAATAATATTGAGAAAATATTTATTCATACTTTTTCTAAATATTTCAATTCGATTTGGAGCCTGTGCAAAGCTGAGTCTAGTTTAAAAAGAAGCAATCTTGTAGCAGTGTCCAACTGCAGATTGTGTGCCACCCAGAAAGATAAAGCTATTGGATCATTTGGAAAACTATCTGGAAAAACAAACAACCATATAAATTTAATTAAGTTGATCACTACTAATGATAATTGAGTTGAAACAATCATGTTACCTGCCAAACAAGAATAAATTAAATAAATCCTATAAGCTGATAAACAGTCTAATATAAATCAGTAAATTTCTTGAAAACTAAGGTAAATACTCCACTATTAATGTAGAGTTTACCTCTACTTCTTTTACAAACATATGATAAACAGATCTTTCAAATGAAAATAAATCAAATATATTGAGATAAAAATGCATAATAGATAAAAATTCTATATTTCAAAAACACAGAACAAATAAATAACAGAGCATGTTTTGACATAAAATAACTGTATGCTATATCACAACATAATATAAAACTTAAATATAATTTAAATATATAAGTGATTACTTATTTGAATTTTCATTTGAAATTCGAGCAGCTAAAGCAGCAAATTTAGCCATATAATCTTCACTATTTTCATTCAATAATGACTGCATATTAACATCAACATCTTGACAAATCTTTGCATCTTCCGATGATGTTCCTTGTGGTTTTATTGGACTCTCTAAATGTCCCAAAAAACTACTTAAAGAAAAATCGTGCAATTCAGAATTAAACCATGTATTTTCTGGAGTATTTAAAACACATGAAGTATTAAAAGTCTCAGGAGTGGGACTAGAATTTAAAATTTCATCAAGATTATCACTTCTTATCATAGATGCTTTTGCTTCAGCTATTGTAGAGGAACCTATTGAAATATCATCAATCAATTCAGAAATTACTTCCTTGGTTACACATTTTTCTACTATTTTAGATTCATTCAATATAGTTTCAGCTGTTTTGTCATTTTCTTTTACAACTGTACAAGAAACTTGTTTATTCAATGTTTTATTTTTTATCAAACTGCTATGTCGAATATTACTTTTAGCAAAAGGATTTGCTGGTACAATGGGTTTTTTAATTTCTTCAACCACCTTTGATTCTATTTTTTTAGGAAAGTTTTGAGCAGCATCTGCCCCAAAATTTAATTGCCTCGTTGCAATTCTTGATTGATGTCCCAAATTTGAAGAGAATAATTTGAAAAATTGCTTGTAGATGAATTTGGTACTAAGGGAAGCATTCTCTGAACTACTTGTTTGTTACCAATAAACCTGTTTTGCCTATTATTCCACCTTGGTTTTGTCTTCATAATTGAATTTATTTGCTTTTCAAAATCTTCAACTGCTTGTGATGTAACAGGAAATGGTTGCCTAAACATAGTATTATTTCTCACAATAGGAAGAATAGATCTTTGCATAGCATTATTAGTTGTTTGATATTCATTATTAAAATCTGTATTTAGTAAATTCTGATTAGATTTATTATTACAAACATGGCCACATAAGCAAGTGCTCTTTGCTTTTTCATTTGTTTGTATACAAAACAGCAATTGCTTTAAGCGTCTTGTAAGTTCTGTTGTTTTAACAATTTGCTCTGGTTCACTTGACACCACATTCAAATTTTTTGGAATATCTGTTTTGTGTGGTAATAACGTATGCATATCTGAAATTATGGTATCATTTGTTTTTCTTGGAAAGTTTTCGTTTTGATCTTTGGATGATTTTTCTTGCTCTTTTAATTCCCCTTGCGTAGAATCTTTCAGTTGAATATCATCTTTCATTGTTTTAAGTACAGACTCAGTCTCGTCTATAGCAGGTTTACTCACGCTGTCCCACCAGTATTCAAGTTGTAATTTGGAATTTGATCCAAACATTAAATATAAATCCCCAAATGTAACATCTGTTGCATCTTCTATAGTCCAACCATATTTGAAAATATCTTGTATTTTGGTTTCTGTTTCCTTATCCAAGCTTTTATTGTTTATAATCCTTTGTCTTTTACGTATTACTTTAACCCTATCTTTTATTTTGGATTTTACTTCAGCCTTTTGGTTTGTAACGGGGATATTTTTATCAACTTTAGCATCTTTTTGATTAGATAATAATGAAGTTTTGTCAATACCAGCTTCCATTTGATTAGTAATTACTACATTTTTCTCTGCAATGTTTTCTTTCTGATTTGAAAATATTTTTTCAATTTTCAGATCCATCTGATTGAGAATCACATTAGTTTCAACTTTGATTTCAGTTGTTTCTGGGCACTCATCTTTAACAGCAGTATCAAGTTTAATACCAGGGGCCACTTGTAAATCCTTACTCAATTCCAATTGTGACAGATTCTGATCATTTTGCATTGTTTGACTAATCATATCAAAACCATCATTCGCTTTGTCTTCTAGAGATTCATTTTCAATTTTGGCTTTTTTATTAGAAATATCATTGGTATCTAAATTTTTTTTATCTCCTCCACTATCAGATCTCTGTCTCTTTGTTCCTTTCTTTGCTCCACCACCTTTGAAATTTTGTATGGTGCGGGCAAAAATGGTTTCACTTTTTCTGTGATGCCCAGCCTCTCTTCATATGAGTTCAAACAAATTCTATTGCTAGTGATGTATTCACTTAAATTTATAATAGGTTTATTAATATGGACACCAGCCTTTGGTCCAAAATGTAATAACTCTTGAGATGATAAACTTTTATTAGAAATTACGCATTCATCTATATCCACCAACTTTTGCAATAATTTTGTGTCATAAGTTTTCCATCTCTCATTCAATATTGATAATAGGTTGGAAAGACTGAAAAATAGAAGATACTTAGATTAATATAATTTGTACAATTTGTGTTTTTTATATATATGTAAAATCATTGCAATCAATATTAAAAGTGAATTTAATTTTTCAAACAATGTTTCAACAAAATGCAAATGAAAGACTTACCGTCTTTGAATTGGTATCATTGCTGTTACTCGTGGATTATGAGCAACAGACTGCACTCGATGCCAAGCTTCAACATTACTTGGTTGAAGTATAACTAAAACTCTCGTTGGCAACTTAAGTTCTTCTTGCCATTCTTCCATTTCATTCAATTTCCTTAAAGCTTTGCACATAGGGGTTTTAATCCTGAATGTTTTTCCTTTCATCCTAAGTGGAACTGAACCACGGTAAATTAATTCACCTAATTTCAATGCTGTTTTCTCATTTATTAGAAATATTTTCTTTCTCATTTCTCCATAATTAATTAGAAGATACAACTCTTGGGCCACTTTTTTTATTTCTGTATTAAACGAAATAAATTTGGATATTTTATTCCAGTTTCTATAATAAAAATGTCGCACTTGTTCTCTAGTTTTTATTAAATTATCACTCACACCACGCCTTTTCATTTTACTGCTTATATATTGAGTAACAGACTCAAAATCTTTACCATATTCATTTAATGCTTCAAAAAATAAATTTTTTTCAATGAGAGACCAAGATGCTTTTGGAAGTTTGGGTTTGGGTTTATTTTCAAGTTTTTCATCAATTTTAACATCCTTCTTATCTTTATCGCTGTTTACACTCACTAAAGAGTCTTGCTGTAATTTTTTTATCACTCTAGCACTTGTTCTTAATGCTTGTTCAGTACCTCCTTGAGCATTGTTAAAAGTAGTCACTGAACCAAGCAATTCTCTACTGGAATATCTTTTAAATTTCCAGCTGGTAACTTATAAGAAACTGGATTTTTAGCACACAATCCTTGTTTTGTAGTTTCGGTCTGCGTGGTCGTTTCATCTTTAGTTCTATTGAAGCAATATTTAAATCGTCATAAAAAAATTACTCATATTATTTTCATTGTCTTGAGGTGGAGACGCCATTTCAGCTATTATTTATATTGGTTTCTTACGAATAAATTCCAACTTATTTTTCTTAAAACACACATATTATAAATAAATTAATATTTAATATTTACACGAGTACTGTACACTTTATTATTTACACATATTTATTTACAATTATTAAAACACTCACTTGACATCAACATTTAATCACAAATCTACAATCCTTTTGACACAAAAACATAACCTCCCATCTAACTTCATGGCTTTAACAGTTGGCGGATTTTATTTCAGAATTTGAATTTGAAACACAAAAACAAATCCAACAAATACCATAGCTATGTAAAATAATTGTGATCATAATATTTTATAATAATAAGCTATTAAAAAAATATTTTAACCACACAAAATTTTCCCATATGTGTGCAAATATCAAAATAAATTTGATTTTATATAAATACAATAATCACATTTTATAATGAGGTTTGTTAAAAATGGCAATAAATTATTATAATATATATATATATATATTAAAATTATTAATACAATTATCAACTCAAAACTCTTACCTATATTAAGCTGCCTAAAGTATTTCTAATTTTTTCAACTATATCACCCAAATCATACTGATTAAAAACAAACATGGGCCAACATGTTAAATAAGTATGTCTCTTTTTTGCCGCTGCAGACATATTTTTGCTTGAAACTTGAAGTCTATATTTATCCAAACTGCTTAAGTGTGCACATGATAAAGGATCAGTTAAAGCATATTCAGGTAGAATCATTACTTGTTGTGAAACAATGCTGAAATTGGTAATGGTTTGTGAATATTCAAGTTTAGGTGTAGCATAATGTTTTATATTACCTAAGATAATCTTAATCCTTTCATTGGTCCTAAAACTCTAAATCTTTGCCTCCCTCGTGCTTTAACCCTGACTATATCCGTGTCATGATCGGGCTCTTTCAAAAATTTCACATATGATACCATATTCAAACATTTCTTTGCCTGTCTCACTGAAAAAAACAATATGTAAACTTCTATTTACATTATTGGACCCATAAAATAATATCTTTGATACTAACTTAGGACAAACAAGACCAAAGACATGACTGCTTCTCTTTCTTTAGAAAGTCTAGAAGCATGCATTATATGGGGCATCATTGGCAAAATTTGATTTGGAAAAATTAGGGAGTGATGAGCTAATAACGGTAGTTCATATACTGAATTTTGCTCTAATACCAAGCATCCAGATACAGGCAGCATATCTGTTCCCAAATACTGAAATCAATTAAAGATGATTAAAAGAGTTTTTTTACATATTTATAGAAAAATAAAACTAAA